AGTGGGTTTTCTCGTTGTTTTGTTGATGGTTTCTTTTGCTGTGCAGAAGCTTTTTATTTTGATGTAGTCCCATTTGTTCATTTTCTCTTTAGTTTCAAGTGCCCTAGGAGCTGTATCAGTGAAGAAATTGCTTCGGCATATGTCTGAGATTTTGTTGCCTTTGGATTCTTCTAGAATTTTTATGGTTTCTTGTCATACATTTAAGTCCTTTATCCATTTTGAGTTTATTTTTTTGTGTATGGTGTAAGTTGGTGGTCTAGTTTCATTTTCTTGTGTGTATCTGTCCAATTCTCTAGGACTTTGAGTGTCTCATCAACATTTGAATTTATGGATGAGAGAACAGCTTACTCTTAAGAACTTAATTAGTTTTCCGGTTGCTGATCTTCTAAAAGAGAGAGTTATCAACCATCCTATTTTTTTTAAAAATCAGAACTTGAAAAACAAGATTTGAGAAAGGTTTTTTCTTAACAGTTTCTTGTTCAAGAGGCACTTGGGAAGATTTAATTATTTTAGGGTAATAAAGAGAACCAGACAAAGTAATTTGGTTTTTCCAGGATGCATAATCACTACACATATTGGTCAGGAAGAAAATCGTGGCTGAGTTTCTTATCCAACAGCTGTGTCTGTGTATATGTGTGTGTTACCCTGGGGTGCAGGGGAAAGGCAGTGTTAGTTCCAATCCTTACAAAAAACATGAATTTTCTATTATTGGAATTCATAGGTTGTTATTCTTTACTGTAGAATTCATAAATAAAATAAGTATAAGTAACCTTTGAAGTGGAGTCTTTTACGAACAATTTAAATCAAGAATACTGGATGCAGCCCTAGCCAGTTTGGCTCAGTAGATAGAGTGTCACCCTGCAGACCAAAGGGTCCCAGGTTTGATTCTAGTCAAGAGCAGGCTCCTCCCCAGCCCGGGCCCTGGTCAGGGTGAGTGCAGGAGGCAACCAATAAATGTGTTTCTCTCACATCGATGTTTCTCTCTGTCTTTTCCTCTCTTCCACTCTCTCAAATCAGTGGGAAAATGTCCTTGGGGGAGGATTAAAGAAAAAAAAGAATACTGGATGCAGCTAGAAGTATCTGAAGCCTGGGCACTAATTCTGAGATCTAGACACTTTATTTTCCTCGAATCATTCCTTCCCTCCTTCTCCGCCTTTTTCTTTGCTATTGTTTATTGGGTTCCTACCTTTCACCAGACAATTTTCTAAACAATTTATGTACATTTTTTCCTTTAATTTTTACACAAGATTATAAGAGAAGTATGGCTCTTATCTCTAACTGACAAACAGGGAAATTAAGGTTAAGCAACTTGCCTGAGACCAGGCAGAGGGAAAGGTAACGCCTGAACTCAACCCTAGGTCTCTGGTTCTAGACCTTGACCTCTCAACTACCATAGCATTCTGCTTCCTCACTAAAGATTTTCTGTTCTCTCTTTCCAGGGACAGGATGAGAACGTCAGTCAATGTTGTGGGTGACTCTTTTGGGGCTGGGATTGTCTATCACCTCTCCAAGTCTGAGCTGGATACCATTGACTCCCAGCACCGAGCACATGAAGACATTGAAATGACCAAGACTCAGTCCATTTATGACGACATGAAGAACCATAGGGAAAGCAACTCTAATCAATGTGTCTATGCAGCACACAACTCTGTCATAGTAGATGAGTGCAAGGTACCTTTCCCATTCATGGATATCGAGACCTGTATATGATAGTGCATGCTCAATTTCTTAAAATGAACACCAGAGCCCTGCATGTATTATTGTCACATTTATTTTTCTAAAGCATCATGTAACCCAAGCTTCTGTGAGTCCCAGATCATCTAACTCTGTGTCTAACATGGCTGGAAATCAACAGGTCTAACAGTGAAAGAGCCAACCAGTTGCTTCTTTCATCCATATAATGTGCAAACTCTCATTCTGATTCCCCCACCCACTCACTGCACAAATTTGATTGTTTTTCTTGAATATTGTGCCCAAGAATTTGTGGTCTCTAGGGTTTTGCTGCCTTTCAACTTCTCTATTCCTCAAGTGAAGCACCAAGAGAAATACCCAGAATCATTTGATTTATATAGCACAAGTTTTCCTTCCTGCTATGAATCATGTATTGGTCAAAAATGTGCCCACATAACTGTGCAGCTACTTTCGGTTAATTATTTTGGTGGGAATATGAGTTGTGACCTGGCAGTCCCTTTGCTCCAAGTACGGGGAAACTTTCAAGTAAAGGATAACTATCCTCCAGGATGATCATTCATAGATGTCTTCTAAAAACCACTACATTTCACACACTGCCTGGCAGCACCCTCTTCCCTGAAGCATGGATGTTCTGGACTCTCCTAAGCCATTGGGTGCTGAGTCTTCAAGCTCCATAAGCTCTTTCTAGCCTTCATTGTAACTAACTTGACATTGTCAAAGGCAGTGTTATGACCAGAGCGAAGCAAACTTGGAGAAACCCTGGCAGGTGAGCAGAGTCAACTCTGAGGGTTGGGTTGCTAGAATGGTCCCAGGTAGCATTTGAGGAAAATTTGAACCCAACAGATATTTCTGATACCTTTTTGATTCCTGTTGATAAGATCTCATTTAATAGTTGATTTCTTTATGTGTTACCTCTGGGTCATTCTAAATATATATGATGGCTTCTGCCAGACCCCTTAGGATGACACAGAAGTAATCCTCTCTACTGGACTGCAACATAGGTCCAGAAGTCTAATGGACCAGCCACAGCCTTTCGCTCCTCCCGTCTATATCAGGCCCATGTGTGAGTGAACCAGGGCTCTGATGCAAATTAGGGACCCCACCCATTGGGAGGCAATTGCATAAATTGATTGACTCCATGAAAATGACTTAAATTATTAGTAATTCAGATGTATCTAAAGAATATACTCCATTTTCCTAAAAAGTTAGTATTTCGTACATCTAAATAAATGTGCTGGATTATTTCCCATTAAAATGTTGGTTTGGATCAACAGGGATCAACATTCCCAAGGAATGGCTTTATGCTCTATTATACTCAATAAGTATTTATTGTGTGCCTTGTAAGGTTTAGTTGAGCAACCCCATCTCATTCCTATGACCATATATATTTTTATCACATTCATCAAGTGTTTATTGAGTGGCCATTATCTGCAAGGCCTTGAATTAGGCATGGGAGAATAGGAAAATGAATGTACAATTTTGAAGTGGTGATAAGTTTTGATCCCAAATGACTGCCATTCAAGGACACATAGTAGTAAGGAACAAAATGAAATCACATATTTTTTAATTTTGCAATTATGTGTAAGAAGACTCCTAGTGGTTAATTGTCTATGCTGTGATCTTTATTGGGGCATTTTAAGAGTCTTAGCAATATTGTATTGAGGAGAGAAACTGTGTCCCCATTTGTCAGTACTGTGTTTTAGCACCTAAAGCAGCACCAACCATGCAGTAGGCGCTCTAGAAATATTTGTTGAATGTAGCCTTTTAGCATCTTGACCCTATGCTTTAATTCAGGTAATCTTTTTTTTCTGGACAATTCCATAGAGATAGTGGCTCAGTCTCCATAACCTACTACCCAACCAACCACCTGCACACTTATTGTTGAATGAGCATTTAGATCAGGGGTGGGGAACATCCTGCCTGTGGGCTGTATAAGGCCTGAGAAATCATTTGGTTTGTCCCTGCCAAGGCATTAGAGGTGAGTTAATTAAATGATCAAATGTGGCAGGATAATTTTTTTTAGTCATATATGAGAGTTTATTCCAATACTGCTGGCAGTATGGAAGAGCAGCAGTTCATCCACAAAAATCTAGCAGGCTAATTTTTAAGTCGACAATTTTGTATGGCCTGTGAATGATGTTATAAATATCCAAATGGATCTTGGCAGAAAAAAAAGGTTTCCCACCCCTGATTTAGATGGTCAAGTAGTGAAACTGAGCATGTCATGGAAATGATGCAGCAGCCACATTGCTTTAATGGCTATTGTGGCAGTTTGGATTTTTTTAGTGATGAGATTAGGTTCAGCTCAGTGAAGGTTAGTTGGTCCTCAGACGTTGCTAGGTGAGGCAAATTGACTCTCCTCACTCTAGACCAACTAGCTGAGTTGACACTGATGTGGGGAGGCAGCCAGAACTATGGATATGAATTAACACACTTTCCCAGAATATCTGAATCACATTGATTCATGCCTTTGAATTTCCTTCTGGTCCACGCTCCGTCTCACTGTTTTCAAAACTGAGATGGGAGACATCAATGCTGACTGGCAGTTTCCTCCCTGTATTTGCCTTTCTGTTACTCGGGTGGTTGGAGCAGGAGGGGTGCAATGGATCCGGGAGTGGAGTCCCAGGTTGCTTTCATCCAGCCAGAAAGGGAAATGCCAAAAAAGCTGCTCTCTCAGCCACTGTTCAAACACAGGCCCCAGCATCAAAACAACAACAAAAGGACAACTCCCTCCCCCAAGTGCTGTCTGGTTTTCCAAAGGCACCACACTGTGATTGAGAATTTTGCTCAGCTACGGATATGGTTCCTCATAAAGCCAAATGGGCACATTCAAGGTCAGAGAGGACAGGCAGCTTTCTCCAGGCAGACAGCGTGCTCCTTCCTGGCAGTCCCTCCTGACAGTTCACTGAAGGGGAAACCACTTTGCTGCAGCTCTGGTCAAACTTTAACCACATCAGGCATCATTATGTCACCTTGGTCTCTCTGTTTCCAATCGCTAGCCTTGGGAAGTAGTTTGAAAGTGACGCAATCGCTTTTGTATTTTAATCATAGTAACTGCACGGGAGGCGGTCCTTGCTGTTGCATGTGGGGGCCTAATGGGGACTGGAGGAATGACTCCTTTTTATTTTCACTCGCTTGGTTCATGAGGGGCACTGGGTTTTCTGTTCCCAGCATGTTGTGTGTGTCCATAACGCATGCGTTTCACTTCCACTCGGGGAGGAAGGGCAGATTTCTTTCAAACATTGCTGCGTTTGTCATGTCTCCATGTTCTAATGCTTCCATAAATCCAGTCTCTCCATTATGTGGAATATCAGTCGTGGGTTTAAGTTTGCACTTGACGTTGAGGACAGACAGATGGAAGGTAAGCTAGGAAAAATGTAGACGTGGAGGGGAAACCTCCCATTCTGTGGAAGGGTTCAGTTCGCTCAGAGCCGGGGGAGCAGAATCTACAGTCTGCTGGTTGCATTTGATTAGTAAATCATCTCAGGCTCATTTAATCCCCCCTTTTTATTTTTCGTTTGTAAAACCCGCATCACTTATTTGCTACCCAGACCATTGTGCCTTCTGGTGTTAAAATTGGACATGTGTCAAATTCACCTGGCCTTCTTGCAACTGAACCTTTCACGTGCATGAGTAGAACTAGCTGCCTAGTTCTGGGTGTGTTTTTTTCTCTGTGGTTGTATGGAGTAGCACATGGGCACTATTGTTTAAGGACTGCGTTCCTGTGTGATGGGTCTATAAGTAGTTAGACACCCCCACAGCCCTCAAAGCAGAGTAGAAGTTATCCCCCGAATCGCCTAGCGTCTCCAGTCCCTCAAAAGGCCCTCAAGGCAAATGAGTATTTTTTTAATCTTCATAAATCAGTGTTGAGATCCAAGACCAGCTCAACATCTGGTCGGAAGGGGCAACATTTAAAACTGATACCAAAGTCATGCGGTCTAAGCCAGATCCGGTGCTCCTCCACGTAACCACGGGTGGTTCTCTGGTCCATGGCCTGTAAGCTGGATGTTGATGATGATTATTTTCAGGTCACTCTGGCAGCCAACGGGAAGTCAGCAGACGGCAGTGTTGAGGAAGAACCTTGGAAACGTGAAAAATAACGATGTGACACTCAGCAAATTCTTGAATAAACTCCCCCGTGTATCTCATGGTAAAAGAGGATATAAACAAGCTTTCTTTAAAAAGGAAAAAACAAAACAAAAACACCTATATTTCTATGTTTACTTAATCTGTTAGCCGAGGCTTAGAGGACCTGTTGTGAGTCAGTGATAGGCATGGTGCTGTGTCTTTGCCAAATAATGCTTCGTAACCGTCTGATGTTCTCATGTGTGTTACTGTCGGAATGGATGCTGCCAGAGGAACCGCTTGAATTGAAGACACATTCTTGCCAGCTTCCCTTTTCTCTCAAGATACAGGACCATGGATGCTCTTTTCCCAGGGGACGCGACTCAAGCTGTGTGGTACACTCCAGGGACTTGGGGTAATGAGCAGATACACAGTGTGTTGTTTCTCCAAGTATTCTCCATGCTTCGCCTTGTTACGCACAAGAGATTCTGTTAGGAGCCTCTAGAAGTAATTCTTTTTCCGTGTCTTGTAGGGTTTGCCCACGTGTTGATAAAAGCAAGTACCTGTCTTAGGGAACTGTGACAATTTGTCTTCTGTCTGCTCTTTTAGCTCAGTGTTTCAGAGAGCATTGCAGTGGGAACGGACCTGTGGAAGGCAGCTGGTTGTGGAGGCCACTGAGCCTCTGCTCTGTCCCACCTAGTCTGTGGACATGCATTATTGAACTCTCAGAGTTTGCTGCGTAATTTGCTCTAAATTTGATAATGGGTTAGAATATAATTTGTTCAGAACCACGGTATACATTGACAAAAGTAAGAGAGCACAGTCAACATACATGTTAATCAGATTCAAGTATTCAAATTCATTGGCCTTTGGTTTGTAGTCATCTTGTCTGTGTGAGATCATATTAATCTCTGCTTCACTTTCTTTGTTTTACCCATAAAATTCTTGTTTGGGTTTCTAACAAAAAGACACTTTTTGATCTCCAAATCATTTCAGTCATATACCCAGTAAACCAAAAGGCCTAATCATGGTGTTCTTCTTACACATGGAGGACAGTTTTGTTGCCTGTGCCTCTTTTACTACTGTCTCTTGATAAAAACAAAAGACTGTCATTTATCTAATATGTAGAAAGCTTTTGTTATATTACATCAAAGCACATAAATCCAATTACAGGACACGTTGGAAGCAAAGCCAACCTTCCTCCCCAGTCTTCTCTGTCAAAAAGAACAGAAAACAACGTATGTGCAAAATCCTTAAAAGGTGCCATTCCCATGGCAAAGTCAAGGCAGCCTTGAACCATGAAATGGGCACCACATAGATGGGACCTTTTCAAGGCTGTGAAAGTTTGGGGGAATAAGTAATATAATAGGAGCAGCACAGTGCCTTGCATGCTGTTGTCACCCAACGAATCCTGAATGATTGTGTAGGTTAACTTTTTCAGTGTCTCTACTATCATTTTCTAGTGAATAACACACAGTATTTTTCTAAAGTTTCTGGCTTTGGGAGTTTGCTGAGGACTTGAGCATGAATCCCTGAGAAATAAAGCACATTGGAAGGAGTGTGTAGAACTTTGGTTCACATGTGGGAGGCAGGTGGTCTTCTGAGGCCAGCAGATGGATGGTGAGATGTTGATGAATCATGATAGAGTCTAAATTCTCTAAAGAAAGGATATTTATAGCCACCACATACCCTTTATTACCTAGTTCTTGTGACTTTTCTCTTCCAAATCAGACACCTTTGGAATATACAGATGTTTCCTTTTTTTTTTTTTTTTTTTGTCTCCTAACCCCTAGTTATTTTTGGATAAGGATCATTATTGAGCAGTATTAAGCAGATTTTGCTTTTAAAGAATGGCATTGGTCTTGATTTTCATTAGCTGGACAGGGAGCAGGGTGGCCCAGGATGTGCTGAAATGTAGCTGTGGGAAACGTATCCCTTGCAGCAGACACTGTGGGTCAGGGGGACAGTTCTTGGGTGCAGCTGTGAAACTGTTAAGGCTTGTCTATAAATGGGACTTATGGAGAGGAGAAGGATATGGGCAAGGCACCTAGGAGTTTGTGGTTTTGCTATTTAAGGCCAGCTTAGCACACGTGTACAGGCTGACATGTTTCTTGATAGAGCAGTCTCAGGATTATCTTCCCAAGATGCTGCCTAGATGTCTTCTCTGTTTGATTTGTCTTCAGAGTTTTCCTCATTACCCAGTGAGATCATAAATGTCTAAGTGCACAGTTTAACAAAGCAGGTATTTCTGGTTTGAGATTCTATGCAATAGAATAGCTCCATGAAAATACACGTAGGAGAGCATATTTATCTAGATTCAACAAATTATATTAAAAATTAATACTTTTTCAAATTCAAGACAAGCCTGAAAATCCAGAATTATATAGAGCTGACATATGACTCTGTCCTTTAACTTTTTTTTAGGCCTCATTCATTCTTCTCATGCTGTGCCCATTGGGGTTTTCCTTGCCCAGGATATGTGCCATAAACAGAACAAATAGATCCAGAGTATACCTCTAACAACCTTTTCTAAATAGGATATGTGTGATCTTCCAGTGATATACATAGATTTATAGTAATAGCTCCAACACAGATATACATGCTTATAACCCACTAATATTTGATGATGCATAAATGTTATATTTATATGATAGACCAGATACATACACCACATCCTATAAGGTCTGTTTTGTATTTTGTTGGTGTTTGTTGTTGTTGTTGTTGTTGTTGTTAGACTCATTCACTCTTTTTAGGAAACAGAATTGTTTCAGGGGGAAACCAACTGAGCAGACTTTAATCCTTCTCTATCTCATTTTTGCCCATTGGCAGACCCAAGGGGAATCATCATTAGATCAACTACTTAGAATTCTGTGAATGCAATCCAATCAGTGAGGAAAATGGCTTATCTCTCCAGGTGAGGCTTTATCTGAAGTCTTTGAGGATGTGCGTCCCATGCAAAGGGCAATCACCTTGGTCACACAGGTCCTCAATACGGGACTTCAGGGAGCTATCAGATTCAATTCCTTACTTGTTATTGGGTGTGGGAACATAGCCTATAGTCTCATTTCCTGTAGAAGTCACCATGTCTCCTAAAAGACAAATATTTACTTCTGTTCTCCAACTACTCGTTAGCAAGGATGTTTATGAAAACCTAAAGCAAGGATGCCAAGATGCCCAGCTCCTGGGTTTAGGCTGGAAGCTAAGAAAGGCTTAGGGGAAATTTAGTTCTCGGGAAGATATAGTCCTGGTAGATAATGCCAGGAACCCCACCACTGAGTGATTAGAGGGTGTCAGGTCCTTTCTACTTGTGCATAGGGAAGTATGTCATTTTCATGTGTGTTGAGAGTCAAGAAGCCCTCCCGGAGTTGGGTAACTCATCTACTGAGTCCCCAAAAGGAAATCCAATCCTGCTATGCTTTTGCAAATGCCACACTTCCTTATGTTCTCAACAGAAGAAGTTATGGTACGATATTTCACTTTTGTCAGAGTCAAGGCTCTGTGTGCACTCCCTTTCCCCTGAATGCAACAGTCAACCCAAAGAGGAACGCACACGCTCAGAGAGACTTCCCCATGGTTCAGACTCTTGCTGGACAAGTCTCGGCAGCTCTTGCCTGGTTCCATGGCTAAAAGTGCTCAGCAGTTACACCCAGTGGAGACAGTAGCTCTTCCCACTTCACTGCTCTCAAACTCTTGGGGCCATGCACTTGTCTGGGTTGCTGGTTTTGTTTTGCTTATTCTCCAACTGAATTCATTCCAAGCCAATAAAAAGGACCAAATGGGAATTTTCGGTTATTGCAGTAACTTGTTCCTTGAATAAGAAGAGTAAGATTAAGTTTAAGCTAAGAGCCTGGAGTAATTCTGAAGTGAGGGTTTTGCAATTCTAGTTGTCAGAGGAGATTAGTGGTCTCTGTGTCTGTGGTAATTTCTGGCTAAAACCTAGAAGGAAGGCTACCGAGTGCCAAGCCAGGCAGGTGACATTATCGGCAGGTTGCTCTCCTTGAATAGAGCGAATTCAAAGCTGCCTACGATTTTCCCCAAAGAAAAGCCCAATTCCTCACTCTTTCTCCTCCTTTCTTCTTATTCCATGTATCATTGTTGCTGTGTAAGGAGCAATTGTAAATGACCAAGGGTTGGTTTTAGAATAAGACAACAGGGAATCTTAATAGAATAGTATCTCATTTTACAGCATAACACAGCTAATTCAGATGACAGAGATGGTGAGAAATAACACAATCGGACAGAGGAAACATGTGACTTAGACTGCCAGTTGTCAGCTGTATAACTTATACAAGTCACTTTATGCCCAAGCCTCATTCCTTCCCATATGTAAAGGGAAAGGGTTGGATCAAATGATTAAAAGCCCCCCCCCCCCAGCCCTAAGAATCCATGATCTTATGTTTCTCTCCTAAGAGGTTTACTACTATAAAATATGACTTTCTATTTTAAGTCAGAGGGACCCACAATAATTACTAATCAGTTTGCATTTTCCTTGTCCCCTTTGGGGGCAATCAAACTCAAACCTCTCTCTTTATTTGGTGGATTACAAGCTTGGAAGATGGCCATGTTAATTGACCATGTGGTGTTTTGAGACACAAACACACACACTTCTGTAAAACTGCTCTATGCTTACACTCACTGTCCCAGTCAAAGTAGCAATTCAGCTCAGGAAAAATGCTGCCAGAGTCACCATGAGGGGACCGGATGCGTCTACACCCTCACTCAAGCTCTTGCAT